CTTTACTGTTATTTTCTCCAACAGAAAGTCCCCTGCAGTCGAAAAACTTCTTTCCAAACTTAAGAAGACCTTGTCTCTGTCTGAAATGATGAAGCTGGGAATGTTAGGTAGTCGTTCTACCTCTTTGTTAAAATTTGTTGCGACTATGTTTTTTAACGGTAGGAAATATGCATATTTACTTAAACGGACAACCTACTAACAAAGAGTCGTATCCTGATGATTTTAGAAGTCCTTCCACAAAGTCCATTGAAATGGCAAAGGTTGTAAAAGTTCGGTCGGGAAAAGTTCGAGGCTCTGTGCTAGCATTCTGGAGATTCTTCCATGAACATTTTGAAGTCTTTCTTCATTCTCAACCAATAAAGATCATTGCTCAGTCTCTTATTTGCTTGGAGGATGCTAGCATACTGGAGATTCTTCCATGAACTTTTTGATGTCTTTCTTCATTCTCAACCAATAAAGATCATTGCTCAGTCTCTTATATGCTTGGAGGAACCCGGAATGTCCTCCTATCTTCCACTAGAGATGGATTAATGTTGAGATTTTATCAATAACACCTGACTGTACATACAATGGGCTGCTAATCCAGCATGGTACCATAACCTATCAATAATGAAAGGCTTCAAAGAATTTGGTAGGGCCAAAACTGGTACAGTTGTCATAGCTAACTTCAGCTATTGAAATGCTGCCTCCGTTTCCTCGTTCCCTCCAAATGCTTCTTTAACTATTGCGTTAAAAAGACCAGAAATCGAGCCATAGCCCACCACAAATAGTCTGTTATATCCTGTCAACCTGAAGAAATCCTCGAATTATGCAGTAGCGATGGGTACAACGGAATCAGTGAAAGCAAATGGGGTATGTCATATCCTGTCAAGTTTCTGAATTACAACTGCACTTCATCTCCGACTTCTAGAGGATGTGTTATTCCTTCGGAAAATTGAGTTCCCCATCTTCTTCCTAGCTACCCTGCACCAATAGGTGGGCCCACTGTATACTTCTCCTCTATTAAAAACACAATCTCTTACTCATCTGACATGCGTACGTTTTGAATATCCTTTCAATTGCTTGCGATTGTCTTCTTGGGAATGCCTCAGACTTCTTTGCGTTCCATAGATTTGGAGGGTACTTTTTAAACTGGCTAAGTCAACGTAACCATTTTTCACTCTTTGCCATTTCACTGTAATGGTATTGTTTAAAAGACAATAATATCATTTAAGTTACAAAATAAAATCAAACACTTCCTACTTAAAATCGCTGACCCAACCATCTGGGCACAAAGTACACAACAGCCACATACAGTAGGACTTTTAACAGTCGGCCAAATCGTTGGGCTGACCTGGGCTGACCCGTTAACAGTTGATTTTTTTGCCCTCATTATCTAATTTTTTTAAAAGAAATTTGTTTCGTGATGCAGATATGGGATCCACTACAGTCCCGGTTTGTTATTTTGATGAATTTGAAATGAATGAAAATGATCGATGAGTATGAAAATGGACGAGTGAAAGACCCATTGAAATTGTGATAACATCGAGTATTATATGTAGAAATGTACCATGATTTACAGAACAAGCTTAACGAGCGTATTCCATTTCAATTCCACCCGTAAAGGTTATTTCTAAAGCTGTGAAATGAAGGTTCTAATTGCATTGAACAAAAATCCCACGACTTCTATTTGCGACTCTAGTGAGAAAAAAATGTCTCCGAGAGTGAACACAAGACGAACCATGATTTTTGGGACTCAGTGAAGATAGCTTGTGAGGATGATATGATTATTCCCAAGACAAACTATGATCACATTGTTACGTATAGAATCTTCTCGATAATTTAAGACA